TAACTGAATCTGTAGGAGTTATTCCAAGTATCTTGTTCAATTTGAGACAGAATGGATCACTGAATACAGGATAATAAGGTAAAGTTCCAACCTAACTTGACTTGGATTTGATAAAAGCAGTCAAGTTTCCCATTCTTATTCAGTATGTATTTAGATTTGGCTTTGCAGTTCACTGGTCCTATCTCGAGAATCAAAATAAATTATCAGTAATTTGATAGCATTTGATAAATTAATGCTAATGATTTGCCACTGATTATCGTGTCATATTTACCTGCCTTGTTCAACATATTTCTTAATGCTCTAAGAAAATTTAAAAGCCAGCCTGATAAAAATCATAAACTGAAAGCCAGGCATGGTGGCTCATGCCTGTAATGCCAGCACTTGGGATGCTGAGGCAGGAGGATTGCTGTGAATTCAAGACCAGCCTGGGCTCCATAGTGAGTTCCAGGTCAGTTTCAACAACTACATAGTGATGAGACCCTGTCCCAAAAAAACAAAACAAAAAAAATCATGAACTGAAGATTTAACAAGTCATGTGCTTACATTGAAAATGCCACATTATATCATCTAATACATTATATTTAACAATATGCTAATCTGTAGTTAATAACAGTGTTTTAATACTAAGCCAAAAAAGTCACTAATAGTAAAAAGATGTAGCAAAAATTCATTCATGCATGCATGTTTTTCCGTAGTAAGTACTTGCAAAGTAGCAGAAATTTTTCTTTGGTTACCTTATTTTTAACATTTTATTCATTACAGTCTGCATGAATTAGCTTAGTCACCTAATACAAATGATTAATGAGATAATGAGCAAAAGGTTACGTTTCTATCACTGTATGAATTGGTTTGCTTCTAAAAAGGAAAATCCCCCTTTTAACTTAACAACCTCTATTAACTTGTCATTGCTTAAGGGCGAGGCTAGAAGGAAATAGCACGACTGACTGATTTAGTCTAGATTTTCTGAAATACCAGTTTTTGAAGCCAATACTCACATACTAATGGTTTGTTGGGAAGATAGTATCTCAGGAATAATGGACTGAAAAAATCGGGAAAAAAGAAAGGGAAGAGCAAATACAACAGGTTGTTTCATCCAGATGGCTATAGCTTCCCAATAAACACATCTGTTTCCTCAATCAAGTGTCGTGGCTCTGTGTATTATGTTACGAAAACATAAGTTTCTGGTATCTCTAGGTTCAGAATCACACAAGTCACATTCATTCCTTTCTGTGAACTGCTGTACAGCTCTTCCAAGTATCCTCAGAAGAAGCTAGAGCTTCTGTATATGGATCTCATTAAACTAAAGGGAGAGTCATCTCTTTTGTCAGGTAGCACTGCATGAGAACACTTCTAATACTATGGTGGCTGCGGTGTCACAGAAACAGCGGTGTCTTTTCAGCTATTGGAAGGTCAGGAGCGATTGGGAGACCTGTTCTGGCTTGCAAGTAAGGCTCTTTGCCTGGGGGAAGGGTGAGGAGGTAAGCAAGGAATTAAGCCTAAACTGAGTCTGAAAAGATGATACATCAGAATTTAATGAGATCTCAAGCAAACAACAAATTCCTATGGTTTTGGAACTGAATGCATGATTCAGCAAAACTACTTTTAAAAGGAAAGAGGATGTGGAAATTAGGTTCATACTTACTGCAGAGAAGAGAAAAGGTAAAACAAAATGAAAGTTTTAGATGGCTTGTCTGTTAGCTCAGAGTAAAAAATATTTTTGAGGGTAGAATGCTGTTTATTTTTCTCTTACTGTGAGTTGGGATCAGTAATGTTTTCACAGAGATTAATCTTCAGATCTCATTTCCACGGTAAATCTTGGTGTAAATGCTCCAAGTTCGCTTCTTCGAGTCTTATTTTTATGTGTCTGAGATTTCCAACCAGTTTTCTACCTTAGTTTTAGAATTTGGTACATTTACTAGCACTGTTGAAGTTTCCATTGATTTTGCCAACTGGTCTTGAAAACTTTTTGTTTGGGATTGTATCTAGACATACCTTGAAATCCTCATATGTTAAGATGGAGCATTTCTCAGGTGGCTAGATACAACTCAGTGGTGGCAATCACGGCTCACATGCTTCTGCCAGCTGTTTGTATCATTGAAAACTCTAAAAGATCTTGCAGGGTAAGTGAATGTGGGTTAAGGGTGTGTGAATATGGATTAAGGTGTTATAAGTTGATTAGTCCATTCATTGGGTAGCATTGTTCTGGGTGTGGGTGGCATGGACCCTTAGGCATGTACTTTGAATTAGTAAAAAATTGAAAGCAGGCTGCTCCTGCCAGCTGCTTCCTGCCTGACCTGCCTGTGGACTGTCTCTCCTCTGCAGTATCCCTGGGCGGGGCCACCCTGCCTTAGAGCCAGCTGACTATGAAATAGAATTTAAAATTTCTAAGACAAAATTAAGCTTTCCTCTTTTAACTTGTAGGTGTCAAGTATTTTGTCTCAGCAATGAAAAGGTAACTAAGATATTTTGCTGGCAATTCTGCTACATGTTAGGAGGTACACAGAGAGTGTTTCCACAGAATCTTTCGATTGGTTTAAAAATCTTTTCACAAGTTTATTACTTTTTGAGGTATTATGTTTTTGAAGTATTTGTCCAAGATTTTTCCATATTATTCTATTCAGTTATCTGTCTTTATTTCAAATTTTATGTAAGTAACTATCCAACTGTAAGGCATAAATTTACAGTTGTTTTCTGTGTGAGTTTAAAAAGTGTGAAAGCCTTTTGTCAATTCAAAGATCTCTGTGAATTTGACACGTCGTCACTAACTGCTGGTTACCCTGTAACTAGAATGCCTGAGATTGGCTACAGTAAATGTGACATGAGAAAAACAGATAATGAATGTTTACATTTTGTAAAAAATTAAAATACAGGTATTCCTGATTTCACAACATACCTTTTTAATGACCGTTTGGATTTATGACCTGCATTTAGACTTACAACACAGAAATGTGAGCAGTACTGCAGTCCTATGGTGGTTTATTTGATTCTGCAATTGAGTTTATGCACAAAAATGCCACAGATTTCTTGGAGAGTGTACTGTCTACAATAAACCGTCCAGAGTGTACTCTCAAAAGTGAGGGCAGCAGTGTTAGAATTAGAGGCTGTGGATCTAAGTATTGAACAACCCACAAAAGCGGCATGGCAAATGCGTGAACTTTTATGATACGATGGTGAAGTTTATGAAGCAAAAGAGAAAATGACACAACAAACCATATTAATGAAACTGTTCTCAAAAGCTACACCCAGGATCCCCACACTAAATCTTCCACTTCTACTCTGTCGTCTGTATCTCCTGATCAAAATTCCAATGATGATACTGATGAGGCCTTTGAAGGATTCAATGACTAAAATATTAACTTGGAAGTCTTTTTTTGTACAGTTCTGTATGTACGCCTTGTTTATAGTTCTTTTTATAGTACACCTTGTTTATTCAGTATGATACTTTTTGCTGATTATACTACACAGTACAGTACTATAGTTGTATGTTTTGTTACACAATTAAAGTCCTGCATGTAAGAGTTATGCAAATTAAAGCAAACTCATCAAGTTGGAGTTCCCTTTGACTATTTGTTCTGAATATTGTGATATACATACTATATTACTAGTTATGGTGAATCTTTAGAAACCTAATGCCGAAACTTCAACAACAAGAACAACAACAAAAAAACCCCCACTATTTATCACCAAGTGCCAACACTGCAATTAAACCTAAATACTGAGGTTTTACTTTATAAAAACAACTCTGACATTAACATCTTTTGTCTTGAAAGAAAAACGATATCAGAGTTTTCAATGATAAAGTGTTGGATTGAATGGTAATAATTTGCATTTAGAATGCTTTTGCACCATTAATATGATCCATGCTGTTGTATGTGTGGGTAATAATTTGTCAAACCCTGGCTCATACTTCATTAGTTTGGGAGCAACACACAGAGCACTCCGGTCATGTGTCAAAGTTGATATAATTCAAAGCTGAAAACAGCTGCTCACAAGTGTGACATGATCCAAACAAAGAAAGAAACACAATCGCAAGTGCGTCCATTGACTTACAATTATTTGGTAGAGAATTCCACACTTTAAGGATTTGATTCTCAGAACTACCAACTGTTCTGTCCTTTCTCGTCCCTTCACATTCTACCTCCTCAAGTGTTGCACGCAAATTATAGAATTTATTTTTGCAGATACAGCTTTTTTGAAATTTCAGTAGTTCCATTTCCAGATTTCCAAAATCTACCAGTGTAATCGGGAAAGATGAAGCTCTCTAAATCCAGCTTTATCTGGAAAAGTAAGAAAACACAAGGTGTTTTCTTATAGAATTATAAAAATCTGTTATTAAAATTCTCATTTGTAGCCGCTATAATACTAGAACATTTCTTGTAGATCTCGTGATAGCATCTAGGTTTGTCTGCACGTGTTGTAGAATTTTCTTAATGCATTACTATGTGTAAGATATTTCAGCTGCCCACTCTCAAGGGCGATCGTGACTTTGCTCACATGCTGGACTAAGTTTACCACCACTGCTATGCACAATTCCTCCACGTTCGGGAACCAATTCGGTTAATGGCCTGTTGGCAAGAACGTGACCTTTTAAAAGACACGTTGTCGATCATCCGCATGAGTATCTTCCTTCTCACTAGGAACACACTTATCCCGTAGTTTTTGACACTTTCTGAAGCAGTTTTGGAAATCTTCTTTCACGACTTGCTTTATTAGCCCTATTGTGGCAGACTTGATATCCAGAATTGATTCAAAATACACACCTTTCAACATCATTGGGACTTTGGGAAAGAGCTGGAAGAGCTACAGTGTGAGATGCAGTGAATAAGGCACATTGACCTGCCCTTCATTGGAAGGCATGGGACAGCAGCTTTTACTATTTTGTTTAATTCATTAATGTTATCGGTACATTTTAGATGTACAATATGTTGACGTTCATTATTGGGAATTTGTAACTTAACATAATGTACCTTGTTTCTTATTTTTTTTTCCCATTTCCCTGTCCTCCCTTTCGGACACACACATTAAAGAAGACTTCCGGAACTACTTCAGAAAGTGGTAAGAACTATAAGATTAATGTGATCAAAACATGGGCAGAATTTTGAGAGGGACATTTTAAAATGTTTTATTTTAATATATATATTTTGAACACACCTACCCTTGTCTATATTCTGAAAACCATCTTAATGTTGCTTCATGATAACTTAACTTGCTAGGAATGCCCTTTGTAGTTTCAAAATCTTTCCATGTGTTCCTCATTTAAAAATACAGGTCACTGCAGTTCTTTGTTTCAGGGAAAAGGGCAAGAACAGAGGGTTCAAACCCTGCACTCCTGCCTCTTTCCGATAACCCAGTGTGAGAGGCAGTGAGGTGGAAGGGTATGGCGGACTAGACTTACTGGTAGTTTTTCACTAAAACACTAAGATAAGAAAGTCTGGTTAGTATTTTTCAAAAACATTAAGCAGATAGAAAATTGAGAGGGAAAACTGACAATGCTATCACTTCCGATATAAGAATGTCAAAATGTAGTGTTTACATTTGAATATAGGATAATGGGTAAATTATTTTTACCACACACTTAAAACTTTTGTATGGTTTTTCAAATTCTTCTCCATAATGTTTGGTTTTAATCAGAAAAATAAAAAAAATTCCTCTGCTTGACAATGGTTGGAAACGTATGAAGAACAGAGTGAAAATCTGGTCAGGACAGATCTGGGAGGTTAAAGATAAATGGGACCCAAGACTCACTGTGTGAGATAAAGAGAAAAAAACACATTTAGTGAAAGAGAACAGGCTCTCCTTGATGATGGCTGGTTATAGAGCATTGTCTACATATGCTTCTTCTACTTCTTTACTGCAGTTAGGCCACCGAGGGTAAGAATCCCACGTTCCTCTGGTGTAGGGATTGACTTTAATGGTAATGGTGCCTTTTGATTCCGTACTGAATTTATTTATTTTTTTTGTTAGTTGAAAGCAATTCTTTGTGTCTGTTTAAGAAATATTTTCTGCTGGGCGCGGTGGGGCACACCTGAAATCCCAGCACTTGGGAGGCTGAGTAAGGAGGATCGCTGTGAGTTCAAGGCAAGCCTGGGCTACATAGTGAGTTCCAGGTCAGTCTCAACTATATAGTGGGACCCTGTCTCAACAACAACAACAAAAAATAAATAAATTCCACCCATTCTTTAAAAATGTTAGCTGAATAATTTTAATTTTCACATTAGCACTCTAATCTCCAAAGAAGTTGTTTGGAAAGCAGTGAGATTTGTTTGCATAAGCATCATTGTTTACAGCCTTTGTGAAGTATAATTGAAATAAAGTCACTTGTACACATATAAATATGTATTTTTATTATTTCTTTATCTGTAAAACTAAAGAAAATAACCTACACCCTCAAGAATACAGTTGTTTCTTACAAGAATTTCCTCATATACTTTTATTATCCACACACTTCAACCCAGATATAGCTGGTGACTTTAAACCACAATAGACTAAATTTCAATTTCTAGAATTTTATATAAGTGGATCAATAAAATATAAATCTGATGGCTCAAATGTTTAACAAAGAATTAAATTCAACAAAGAATTTACGTTCAGCTTCATTCTTTCACTGCTGATCGCACTCAGTAATTAGGTTTAGAATAGCAAAGATAGAATAGCTAATATTAGGGTCAGAATGTGGTAACACCTTTTCTCTTTGGTTTATTTATTTTTATTTTTAGTGTATATCTGCAGTACATCATAGATACGCACACTTTGGGGACCTTTTACATGGATAAAGCATATCTCGATTGTTTTGTATCCCTTTACTCCACCTCCTGTCCCCATTTTCCCTTCTCCATCACACTCTTCCTTATACATCAACACCTCCGTTCAGGAATGTTTCTGTTTATCTTCCATGTGCGAACACAAAAGGTGAGAACACAACTAACTACGGCCATCTTCCCTGCAAGAAAACAAATGTGTCGTTTGCCTCCAGAGTTGTGCTATGAATTAAGTTGGTGAACCGAGGTACCACTGCACTGGGCTGCTAGTATAGGTGGTTTAATTGGTTTAGCCAGGAGTTGGAGTGGTTTTGGATTTTTTTAACTGGTGTGTTTACCATCAGTGCATAAATGGCTTTTTTTCCAGTGCATGTGGGGTGAACTGTTTTAACCCCTTAATTTTAATGCTCTCTCCTCAGCTTTTAGTGTTCATTGTGTACCTGTGATTTCGAGAAAGTAAACTTTCATTCTCTTGTTCCTTTTGCAGTTGCTGTCTTACTGTTTATTCCTTGGAGTTGGCGCAGATCGAAGTTAGAGTAACAACAAAAGCTCCTTTCACCTTCCATCTCCTGACATGTGAGTCAGAACTGAGTTAGTCACAGGAAAGATGTTAAACATGAAACAAAACACATTAGTACTAGAATTATTCTTGATTTTTAAGACCTGAGGATAGAGGAGTTAATTCATCAGAAATCTCTTAGAAATTTGTGACATCTGTGTGATATGTCCAAGGCAAATTATGTAGACAGAGTTTTACCACACAAAGAAATTAATATGATTCAGTAAAGAAAATTTAGGACTTTCACAAGAGTATTATGTAATAGGAACATTATACGATATGAAATTTCAAAATTGCAGCAGTATCTTCATTTTAATGGCCCAGAATAGTCATTAGGTGTAACTTTGTTTGGAACACTTAAATTTATGAGCAATCATTTATTTAAAATTAGGGCTAAATGACAAAAACTTTCTTAATCACTTTGTAACAAAAACATTTCATAATGGCATAATGATTTTTTCATATATACACTGGTAAATCTATGCCTTAAAATTGTGAAAAAAATGATTCTTTCTGTCCTTTGTATCAGGTGAGAGGCTGCCTTTCACTGATAAAGTGTAAAGCCATATAGATGACTATGTTAAGTACTCTCTAGAAAGCATAGGGCTGCCCTGTTTAGATGCTTAGAACAATACTGCTGTAGCGTTACCACTCATAAGGGAATTTCATCTCTAAGAAAATACTTAATCTTCACTGAATATTTATGTCTCAATTACTTTCTCATCTTAGCAGCACTAATATTTTAGCTAAATTCTAGAGAAGCAGAAGGAGCCCAATGCTTATAAAATACTTAGGAGAAGCAGAAGACTGATTAAAACAAAGAAATAAATGCATTAATTTATCATAGCTCTTTACAAAGACAAAAATGTAAATGTTGAATAGCATGGTAAGAGGATACTGGAAATATTTTCTTTTTTAATAATGAACTAACAATGTTTCATCACGCTTCTCGGAGCTAACAATAGAAAATGTATTATGAACGCGGGTTGCAGAAAATACTAAAATTTCTACATTGCAGAATGTTTAGTAGAAACAGAGAAAAGATTCTATGCAATCTGCAGGCCACAGTTAGATCTGAAAATGAACTAATGTAAGACTTGAAAAAAGTGTAATTCTTTAGTGTAACATAAATATACATAAATAATTATTTGTATGTAGTGGTTATTTGCATTCCTCCAAATTTTACCTGAGGCTTACAACCATGGCAACAAATCACTAACAAGTGCCTTCATTTCATCCTAATGAAAGTGCAGAGAAGCTAGGGAATTATTATTGTATCTGTTTTTGTTGAAAGCTAATCTACTAAATGGAACGCTGACTGTTTAGGAGAGGTCCGTGTCATTGTTTGATGACTCAAAAATAGAGAGACAGAGTATTTTGGGCAACTTCAGCATAAGTCATTCACACATTTTCAAACGTATGGTTGTTTATATGATTGCTTTATGGCTTCTCTATTCAGATTTTGATAGTTTCTGTGAGTTTTTTCTCTGGACATTTCAGAGCAGATTCATCACAGGCTTTTTAACTACAGTGTCATTTCTGTTGAAATGATCAATGCGTTTTGGAAATGAAAACATTACTTTCAATTGTATTTGACAGAATTATGACATTGTTTTTACGTAGCTCTAATTTTGGATGATTTTCCTACCTAGAAAATCAACAGAACTTAGCAATTTCAAGTGCCCACTAGCAGTATACACTATTGTTTTAATTTTATACCGTTAAATTGCATAATCTAATAATGGGATCCAATTTTTTCTCTGAATGTGAATATTTTAGTTATGTAAAATACAAATGTGAAAGGTTGGTAAAAAAGTATTTCTGTCTGTAAAGCAAGGCAGACCAATATCAATTTTTTCTCTCACCTTACACACCATTTTGATTCTCAAGGAATTATTTAAGTGAAAATTGATTCACTAAGAGTAATTATCCAAATTGAATCTAGGAATTACAAAATAATAATAGTAATATTAGTATTTAAATGTACACCTTAAATATAGTATCATTTTAACTCTTAAAGATAAGATGAAATACACTGATAATCTATTATATTGCACAGATAATATATATTAGGTGAGAAATATAAAAGTTAACTATCTGTAGTGATTATGATGAAATTTATAGTAGGCTCTTATTTTCAGGTAATTTCAAGTAAAAAAATTCATATATTTACAGATACACTTAGTCTGGAAGTTAATATTTGAGATAGAGCAAAATATTATGAGAATGCAGTTAGTGTATATATTTTTCAATGTGTACTCTGTTTTTAAGGTATATGTTTATTGATTTGCCCTTGTATTTGTAATACTCTATAGTCATTATTTTAATAAAATGGCTTACATGGGTATCTACATTGAAGTTTGCTATTAATGCTAGATTGTTAACTGCATAAAATCATTGCATGCAAAATAAGAAAATAGAATGAGAATGATCACACACAGGACATACAGACTGAGACAAACTTAACATAAACCATTACATATAATTTTTTACTTTTATTTCATTAAATTTTTAAATGTGTGCATACTGCACCATGGAACCTGAAGTCCACATGCAAAGCCTATTCATCTGTTCATTTCTGTCATCTAATACAAAACCTGCAGAGCACCTCAGATATCTTCAGTGAATTACTTTATGTCAGAAATGCACTAGAGGCAAAGGGTAACTCAGGTTGTACTATAGTGTTTAAACAAAACAAAACAGAACAACAATCAGAATATTTCCCAAAGTAATGTTTTCCTTAAACTGCATTGCAAAGCAGTAAAACATGAAAATATCATTTTCTATTTACACAGGTGCTGATCTTTCTGATATAGGAAATACTATTAAAGGCCAAATTACCCATCATTAATCATCAAACACATAGGCAATGTAAATTAACAGGAAATGGCCTTCTCATGGCTAAACCTTTCATGTGCTTGGCACTTGTGCCATCGATTTAAAGCTCCCTTTTTTCTAGGTGAAATTCTCTCCTTTTGGAATGGATGTAGTTTTACTCTCTGCTTTACAAATCTATTATCTTGAAATTTACTCCTGTCTCTGTAATAGTTCATTCTGAGCATAAAATTATATTGTAATCGCATACTTGGTAAAATAATAATAATAAAAATATACCTCATTTAATCATATCTTTTCCTTTAAAGGAAAAGTCACTAGAGAAACTGTCCATACTAGATCAACATAACATTTACAGTATTTCCAATTTTCCCTTCAATCCAGTACAAGATACAAGATTTACAGATTCCTGTAAAAGTCACTCATGAACTTTCCAAATCCAATGACAATTTTAAATGCCCATTTTTTTCATAGTTGCCAATAAGAGCTGAAGGAATTGATCACACTCCTTCGAAATTTGTTTCTTTAGCCTCAAATGTGATTGTGTGTATCTTCCTCAGAGTTCTCTGCAAGCTCCAGCCCAGTTCCTAACCTGGCTCTGCCTTCATCTCTTCTTCTGAGGCCCAGATGTGCCTTGGAGTCCCTCAGTCTGTTTCTCTCTAGCTGGCTTCCTTTTGGAGAGCTCAACCAGTCAGTTGACTTTCACTATTTTATGTGCTGAAAGAGCCGCACGTGTCTCTCCTGCTCTCTTCATTTCTTGTATATCATATGGAAAATTTTGGTTCTGATTTCAGAAGTCTTCATAAACTTTTCTAGTAAAATATCTTCTCTTAGGTTAATTCTTCATTTCTTTATCCAGCTAGTTTTCTTCGCAGTACTTAACCATTGCCTTGCACGATGATGTTGCACTAGCTTGTTCATTAATAATCTCTCGTCGTCTGCCTCCATGCAGAAGTCTGTCCCCCTCTGCGGCACTTAAAACTGAAATAAAATTTACAAGGATGATCCGATTATAAATTTCCTTCTATTTCACGTGTAACCTAGTAAAAGGATTTGGGAATAAAGTTTAAATGTTTTATAATTTACACAGTGATTTGCATTATTTGGTTATCTTTATGACCGATTCCTGACTTCTTTCATCTTCACAGAGGCACAACTGACAAAATCATATGTATTTAATGTTTATAATGTCATAAGTTAATAGAAATATTTGAAACAGCACAGTACATTAATTTATGATTACTTCATGTATTTTTTTCTTTGGATAAGAATGCTTAAGAGATAATCTTTTGGCAGATTTCAAGTATACAGTATGCTAACCATAATGATCATAACACACAATAGACCCCTGGAAAATATTCATTCTATGATTGGAAGTTTGTGCCTTTTGAACAGCGTCTCCCTATCATCCGCATTTCTCAATCCTTTGCAGCAATCGTTTATTCTATTTTGCTTCTATGCTTTCTCTTGTTGTTCTTCTTGCTCTTGTTTGTCTTCCTGTTGTTCTCCTTGTTCCTCCTCTTCCTCTTCCCCTCCTCCTCCTGCTCTGTCTCCCCCCCCTCCTTTTTCTTTGGATGTGGCTATTTCACTTAGCACTTTTACTCCAGGTTCCTTCACAATGTTATACAAAGAGCCGATTTCTGTCTTTCTTAGGGAGAATAATATTCTATTATTTCTTTTGATCTGTTAATGGGCGCTTACATTATTTTCATATATTACTATTGTGAATAGTACTGTGATGATCATACAAGTGTAGATATCTTTGTCGTATCAATTTTATTTATTTTGTATATATACATTGAACTGGGATTTCTGGATGATCTTATACTTCTTTCTGCTTTTCATTTTTGGGGAAACTGCACAATGATTAGAATAATGCCTGTATTTATTTCTGTGGCCACCAACAGTGACCAAGTGTCCTCTTTTCTCCACTCTTTGCCAGCTCTGTGGCTCCAGTTAGCCTGAACTTATCTAGAGTCCCAGGATTGCCTTGAGCTCATGGCAATCTTCCTGCCTTGGCTTCCTGAGGACTTGCCTTAGAGGCCTGCCTGTGCCATCACTCCCAGCTAATTGTTACCCTTTGACTGTTTGGTAATAGCCATTCTAAAATTTTGAGGTAACCTCTCATTGTTTCGATTTGGGTTTCCCCGATGATTAGTGTCTTGGTCGGCTTTCCAGTGGC